AAATAATGAGCACTGTTCTTAACTCTTTTCCCCACAGAATTATTTAAAACAACACTGAAAGTACTCATCATAAAGAGAAGCATGAACACATTTAATTCTGTTAGAATTAGAAACTTTTTCATGCAAAATATATCATGAAAGGAAGACAGTTATAAATTTGAAAAAATATTTTAAAACAGACTTTGACAATTGTGTTAGTATTTTATGTATAAAGGTTTAAAATTTTAAGTACTTAAAAATCTAACACTAACTATATTATTAATTTCGGTTTTCCTGATGAAGACCTTTCTAATATTAAGTAATATATTTTAAAAAATCTAACTGTTAATTCAATTATTTTAAACCTCATTAAATGGCTCTTCATAATGTAAAGACCGAACATTAGAAATCTTTAGGTTTTTAAGTCTCTGGTGGGAATAAATAAATTATTATAAAGATTTTTAGATTTTCATCCTTTACATGCAGTTCTGTATATATGTGTGTAAGTCTCTTTTACATTTTACAAGTTAATTCTTTTTTTGTTTTGTTTTGAGACAGTCTTGCTTGGTTGCCAGGTGCCAGGCTGGAGTTCAGTGGCGCGATCTTGGCTCACTGCAACCTCCACCTCCCAGGTTCAGGCAATTCTCCTGCCTTAGCCTCCGGAGTAGCTGGGACTACAGGCACATGCCACCACACCCAGCTAATTTTTGTATTTTTATTAGAGACAGGGTTTCACCATGTTGGCCAGGATGGTCTCCATCTCTTGACCTCGTGATACGCCTGCCTCGGCCTCCCAAAGTGCTGGGATTACAGGCGAGAGCCACTGCGTCCAGCCTTCTAACAATCAAAGTCAAAGGCATCCATGTTATGGTTTGTTTGATAGATCTATTAAAAACTTGGTAGGTTAGAATCCTGAGGACGAAAATACAATTTTGATAAAGGTACACAATTGAGAAAAATTTCATCCTTCACAACAGATGTGGGCAGTCAGTTTTTAAACATTGTGTCTTTAGTTTGACCTCTCCTTCATTGACTGTATATAAAATTCTAAGCTAAAACATATTTTCTGAAATTGTTACAGCATTGCATATCTTCTTGCCTACTAAATATATCAGTAATTTTCTTGGGAAGTTACTTTTTTTTTCACACTTGTCTGTAGATCTTTACATGTTCTTTCAGTTGTGGAAGTCCTCTACATAATTAATATTTATTAGTATTTGTAAAGGTTTTCTCCCTGTCTCCCTTCTTCCTGTTTCTCTCTCTCTCTCTCTCTCTCATTCTCTCTCTCTCTCTCTCTCTCTTTCCCCCCCACCTCCGGTCTCTTTATCTCTCTCCTCCCTCTTTCTAAAAATTCAACGTAAAATTTTCAATATTTCTTTAGGAAATAGAAAGGCTTTTTCTTTTTTCTTTTTTTTTTTTTTGGTCTTTTTATTTTGTTTTGTTTTGTTTTGTTTTTGAGACAGGATGTTGCCCTTGCCCAGGCTGGAGTACAACCTCCGTTTCCTGGGGCTTAAGCAATCCTCCCACCTCAGCCTCCTAAGTAGCTGAGGCTATAGGCATGTGGCAACACGCCTGGCTAGTTTTTTTGTATTGTTGGGAGAGATGAGGTCTCCCCATGTTGCCCAGGCTGGTCTCTAACTCCTGAACTTAAGCAACCTGCCAGTCTCAGTCTCCAAAAATGCTGGGATTACAGGTGTTAGCCACTAAAAGCTTTTTTTCCCCCCTAATTTTCATCACTGTTTCTACTTTTCTCTGGTAAGATAGGTATTTAACTTCCTAGACCTGCTTTCCTTTTCTTTAATTATTTTCCTCACATTTTCTATAACCTGTCTATTTTTGATTACTATATTGCTAAATGTCGTTTATATTACAATTAAAGAGGTACAACTTATTACATTTCTTAATTTCTCTATTCTTTTTAAATAATCTTATTTCAGATTTCTACAATGATTGCTTGTTTTTGATTGCTGTTATTTCTAGAAATTTGTTCTTGGCTTACAATTTCTTAATTGCTTGAAATTGCCGAGGAACACACAAAAATAATTTTTTTGTTTAATTTCTTTTTTGTTACCAAGAATATCTCTGGTCTTTTTTTAAAAAATATTTTCAAAATTTTATTCTTCTTTTTTCTTTTCTTTTTTGAGACAGGGACCTGCTGTGTTGCCCAGGCTGGAGTGCAGTGGTGCAATCTTCATTGCAGGCTGGAACTCCTGGGCTCAAGCGATCCTCCCACTTCAGCCTCCAGAGTAGCTGGGACTACAGGTGCATTCCATCGCCACTGGCTAATTGTTAATTTTTTTTTTTTTTTTGTAGAGTAGGGTCTTCCTCTGTTACCAAGGTTGGTCCCAAACTCCTTGGCTCAAGCAATCCTCTCACCTCTACTTCCCCAAGTGCTGAGACTACAGACATAGGCTGTGGCACCCAATCACTTTTGTACTCTTGAGGTTCCTCTTTCTAGTTTTGTTTTCTCTGCCTTATGGGGTCCTCTCCATCTTTGAATTCTCACCTCAGACCTCATTATTTGGTGACTTTGCTTGCATATTTTTCTACGTCCTTTCTGTTCTACCCCATAGTATCTTACATATAGTATCTATGCATAGTATTCCACACATGTCCATTAAATAAGTGGCAACATGACATTAAGGGTGCGGTTACATAGTATTTTCTCCATAATTACACTGAGTGCCTTGATGTAACGTGTCTAATTTTATCTTTAGAGGTTAGTAAACTAACTTGAGTACTACTGTTTTGCTATAAATGCCATCTCATGCTGTTGAACCCCATGCTCTGCCATCTTTAAATGATTGCGTTTTCTAAGCAGGTTCATATTTATTTTATTGTATCTTTGGCTTTCACAGGACCATTTGCTTATTCATTTGTATTTCTCACAGAAACAATAAAATTGTAACCTGTAACCAGAACGTTATTTTACTGACTGCTAAATGTGGCGTATTTAGAAGTCTATGCAGGGAGAAGTACTTCTGCTGATTCCTGATGCTATATTTATATGTGCATCTCTGAATATGAGCATATATATTTATATAACTGTACATTTGCTCATTGCATGTGCTTGATAAATAACTTTAAATAAATAAATGCAATAATTACTGAAGCCAGTAAAACATTTAAGAAAATAAATTCATATCAATTTCTTGGAATGAGAAAACCAGAATAGAAATAACCAGTGATTCGAATAGGAAAAACTACAACCCGTTAATCTTCCATGTTGCTATTCTGTACAATTTTTAATTTTCTTGAAGGTTTGTATATTTATTTATAGGTGTCTTAAAGGACATAAGCAGTCAAAGCTGTCTGTTTTTGTAGCTGCTTTATTGTGTGTATCTAATCACTCATATCATAAATTCATTGACACAGAATACATGCTTACCAATTAACAGGTTTTTAAGCATTTTTACTCCTTTTTTTCCAAACCTCATCAGCTTCTTAACTGGCAATCTTCTTGAACAGTTCCTAACTTTTCACAAGGCTGTGGATTTCAAGTGAATACACAGTTGAAGCTTGATGATGTTCGTTATAAATAGCAATCACCAAATTCATGCAGGATATGGACTTGCTTACTGCCAACTGCCTTCCAGAAATGTTTTCTGCCTTGATTAAAGAAAAACTCTCATATTCCTTTTCTAGCTTTCAGATCTTTACTCCCCTTTTCTATTTCTCTTCTCTGTCTTTGTGTGTGTGTGTGTGTGTGTGTATGTATGTCTCTGTGTGTGTGTGCACATGCAATCATTGAGCTTACTAAAATCAAAACTTACACTACCAGCCATATATGTAGTCATAGCATTCTTTAGCAATATGGGTAATTATGGTCATCCTTTTATATATTGTATGACAGATGCAGATCATATTATATTTCTCTCACTTTTTAAACATTCCATGGTCAGGCACATATCTTTCACAGAAAGATACTCACAATGGAAAGGAAAAGAAGAATTCTTCTCCAAAGCGAACTCCATCCTTGACTGTTCTCTTCTGTCTGAAGGTCAGGGACTGATGAATAAAAAAAGGGTTACTAATTTCTATAGCTACATATCAATGTTCTTAAAATTTGAATGTATATTTATGTGTAGTCATTGTACTATATAAAATTCCTGAGTTAATTATTTTAGGAAATTTATGAAAACTATAAAATAGCAGATTATCACAGGTATCTATTTTTTAAAAAGTTTAAGGCAAATATGTCATAGTGGCAATCTATGTTTGTATCTTTTGCAATTTTAGAGTCCCAAACAAACATGAACAAGAGGTAATGCATAACACAGAACCTAACTATCCATTTCTTTATTACTGTAAGCTATTTAGAATGCCATACTTTATTCAAGTCTTCTCTTATAAATACATTATATAACTTCATTTAGTATTTCACTGTCAAAAATATTCTTATCAATGGAGAAACCAAAATCTAATTTTGATATTGTCAAGATAGAATTTTTAAAATTTTTACTGTTTTTACTTATTTTTTAAACAATGGAACAGCATCCATCAAAGCCATGACATCCAAATTAGCTGCTGAAAATAAGTTGCTAATAAATGAAAAAGTATTTATTTCACATTACTTGAATTCATTGTTTATTTTTGTATATTTATGTTTTCTTCAGAAATACTATTTTAAAACATATTTATTTTAATCCATGCTCATTTCCCCATAAGAAATTGTGTTTCAATATGCAATGAGTGTTTACTGGAAACGCCATTCAGATAAAACAAATACAACAGTAAAGTTAGTAGGATCCTACAAATGACTTTTGGCAAAGATTAGTGACAGGAGAGTCAATTGGTTAATTCAATTTAGATCACATGTAAACCCTGGGGATGTGGATGTCTAGTTGTCAGCAATTAATTAATTAAACCCAACTTTATCTGGCGAAGTAAGCTGCATAAGCAGGATTATTTATTGATTATATATAATAAAGACAAAAAGTAAACAGAACAAAGACAGAATCATTATGAACCCTTCATTAAACCCTTAGTGTGTAACTAAAAGCAGGTTATTCAATAATTACCTTTTTATAAACTATATTGGCCTTTGAGATTAAAGAGTAACTGAGGTACACACCAAATTTGCACAGGTTCTGCATGCTTGGAATTACTTTGAATATGCAATAATATTTTAAAATGCAGTTTTAAATATTTTGATGCTTAATAATATTTTATATTTTAATCATATTTTAACTTTAAATGTAGTTAATAAATATTACGTCACTGCATTGAAATAATACTCTTGTATGCAAAATTAGAAAATATCCTTTATCATTTTGGATCAAAGACATAAGGAGGTGAGAAATATCATAATAAATATCCGTGACAAATAAATAAGTTCATTTAAAGAGCGTATAGGTTACTGGCTTGGACTTTGCCACCAGACAAATACTGGCGTCATTATTTGCTAAATTTGTGTGAACCTCAGCAAGTAACGTACATTGGGCTTCAGAATATTCTTTCATAAAATTAGAATGATATCACTACATATAGAGTGAGGTTTTATGATTTAATTTATGGTAAACACCAATGTACAAAGAAAAGCAATGCTTTATTAAAATAAAAGGTGTTTAGCAGAAAAATTGCATTTAATAATTCTGTGCCAAGATTTTAAAAATTCAATTATGCACACAAGCATACATACACATACATATGCACATATCAGAAGATAGATACATAGATAGATAATGGATAGATGATATAGATACAAGATAGGTAATAGATAGACATAGATAGGATAGACAGGGACAGACAGGTAAATAGATGGATAGATGGATGGATGGATAGATACGTAGGTAGATAGATAGAAGATGGATATATAGATGAATAGATGGATGGATGAATAGATAGATGACAGACAGATCGATGGATAGATGGATGGAGAGAGGGATAGATGGGTGAATGGATGGATAGATAGATGGGAAGATGCACAAATGAATGGATAGATGGATAGATGGTTGCATGGATGGATGGATGGATATATAGCTATATAGATCAATGAATGCATGGGATAATGGATAGATATATGAATAAGTGGAATAGCTGGATAAATGGATGGATGGATAGACAGATAAATGAATGAATGGTTGAGGAATTTGATTGATAGATAAATGGATAGACTGATGGAGGGATGAATGCATAGGTAGGTAGGGAGATGGGTAGATAGATAAGTGGATAGATGGAGAGATAGATAATGGATGGATAGATAATGGATGGATAGATGAATAGATGGATGAATAGATGGATGGATAGATAGATGGGTAGAAGATTGAATGGATAGATGATAGATCAATAAATGGATGGCTGAATAAGTGGACAGATAGATGGTTAGGTGGATGGATGGATAGACAGATGGAGGGACAGATGGATACATACATGCATACATACATACACATATCCAAACATACATACATACATAGATGCATAGATAGGTAAAGATAGGTAGATAGAGATGGGTAAGCATTGTTTTGTTTCAGTATGCTCTGTTCAATAAATTTTTAAATCAATATTCAATTATTAAAGAGAATTCTTTGTAAGTTAATGTTTCTTCTTTCAGATTATCATTTTTAAATACTTTGTCAACATATTAATGGAAGCGTCATGTTTTCTCCACAATTAAACTCTGGCCTTGCAGAACTGTGCTGTCTTGTATTCTGGGTATTTCAGTCTTAAAGAGGAAATTTCCAAATGCCACTTCATTTGACATGTGGGAAAATAAATACATTTTAAAAATCATGTGTCAGGAAGAGGGAGGGAGGGAGGGAGGAGAGAGGGAGGGAGGGAGGGAGGGAGGGAAGGAGAAGGGGTGAGACAGACATAGATAGGATAGACAGGGACAGACAGGTAAATAGATGTATAGACGGATGGATGGATAGATAGATACATGACAGATAGGTGGATAGATAGGTGGATAGATGGATGGATGGATAGATAGGGAGAGAGAAAGGGGGGCATTAAAAAGGCATCTGGGTGAGGTGTTTTACAAGTATTCTGACCTGATATCTCATTGTAAACTGAGAAACCTTTCAGCTGTTCTGCCTAGAGGATTCTAAGAAAGTTGCAAAGCTATGTGATTTTATCGGATTCTAGCTTCCCTCACTCAATTATTTTCAGACTCCACTGCATTATGTGGTTTGTTTGAAAAACCCTCAGTTTGGTAATTGGAAGACACACACATTTAATGATATGCTTTTATTCTTTCAGTTTTAAAGGGACACATATTAGGACATTGTTCTTCGTGTATCAAGGGGTGATTTGGGGGCATGTCATCCTCAAATAAATTTTAATTGCAAAAGCACGTTTATCTTGAAAACATGCCCTCTACTCCTTTGCTTTATTTTTCTCCTTAGCACTTAAATCTACACTATATATTATATATTTTATTTATCTGAAGTATGGCCATGGCCACTGCAGCAATATAAAGTTGATTGTGGCAGAAATATAGTCTGTTTCTTTTCTATTTCATCATCTCTCAGGACGTTAAATATATGCCTTAGCTTGATTTATTGTGGAAAATTTAGCCTTCTCTCTAATAAGTGCTCAACTTCCATGCTATGTATGTCTCTTTGATAACCTCAAAATAAGGACATTGCTGCAGAGAAGCTGCATGTCAGATGTTAATGGATGGTTTTTGTGTTTTATTATTTTTTATTTTTAGAGACAGATCCTCACTCTCACTCGAGCTGGAATGCAGTGGTGCAATCACAGCTCATTGCAGCCTCGAAGTCTTTGGGTCGGGTGATCCTCCCACCTCAGCCTCCCAAGTAGCTGGGACAACAGGTGCACACTCCCAAACCCAGCTAAGTTTTCTATCTCTTTAGAAATGGGGTCTTGCTATGTTGTCCAGGCTGGTCTCAAGCCAGCTTCCTGGCTCAGCCTCCCAAAGCACTAGAATTACAGGTGTGAGCCACCAAGCCCAGCCTTTAGTAGATGTTAAGCCACAGTGATCAGCCTTTATTAGATGTTAATAGAAGAAAAATTCTTCTCCCAATGATACCTTCCCCTGGAGAGGAAATATTTATTTATTGGTGTTTTGCAACTTTGCCACCAGTTGTATCTTATTTACTGTTGGCTTAAGGTAAGACAAAATAAAATATTCATTTATAGCATCTGACTATTTTCCATACTCTTATTGCCCTATTTATTTTCCCCACTTATTCTTATAATATTTTACGGCGGTAAAATATACATAACATAAAATTTTCATTAGTGGCATGTAGTACATTCACAATGTTGTACAACCATCATCTCCATTGACTTCAAGAATACTTTCATCACCCCAAAAGGATATCATGTGCCCATTAGCAATTATTTTATATTCCATCTATCCCCATTCCCTTAGGCAATTACTAATGTTTTTTCTGTTTCTATGGATTTTCCCAGTCTTGACATTTCATATCAGTGAATGCCTTTGTGTGTGTGTGGTTTCTGTGTGTAGCTTCATTCACAGATCATGATGTTTTTAAGGTTCACCTCTGTTGTAGCACAGGGCTCCCCAAGCCACATACAGGCCTGGGCCTGTTAGGAACTGGGCCAACCAGCAGGAGGTGAGCAAATACATTATGGTGAGTTGTATAATTATTTCAGTACGTAATACAATGTAATAATAGTAGAAATAAAGTACGCAATAAACGCAATGTGCTTGAATCAACCACCTCCCACCCCCCGCCATCCATGGAAAAACTGTCTTCCACAAAACCTGTACCTGGTGCCAAAAAGTTTGGGGACGGTGGATGTGGTATGTGTCAGTGTTCCACTCCTTTCTGTGGACAGTGTTGTAGAAAACAGTTTGGTGGTACTTCCAAAATTAAATACAGGATTACTTTATGACCCAGCAATTATACTCTTAGGTATATATTTTAAATAATTGAAAACAAGGTTTCAGGCCAGGCACAGTAGCTCATAGCTACTTTGGGAGATTGAGGCAAGTGGGTCATTTGAGGCCAGGAGTTCGAGACCAGCCTGGCCGACATGGTGAAACCCCATCTCTACTAAAAACACAAAAATTAGCTGGGCGTGGTGGCAGGTGCCTGTAATCCCAGCTTCCCAGGAGGCTGAGGCAGGAGAATTGCTTGAACCCAGGAGGCAGAGGTTAAAGTGAGCTGAGATAACACCACTGCACTCCAGCCTGGGCAACAGAGTGAGACTATGTCTGAAAAAAAAATGTTCCTCAACAGATAAATAAACACATTTTAGTCTATTCATACGATAGAATATTATTCTCTTTGATTTTTCAATGGTACTTTTAATTTTCACGTTTGCATTTCCCTTCCCTTCAAGAATATTGGACACTGAAGCAGCAGTGCGTCCTGGCTTTTGTTGCCTTGATGTGGCTGGCAGAGTCGAGTTGATGTGGGGCTACCTGCCAAGTGAGCTGCATTTTGCTACCATGTAAATCAAAAAGCGTCTGAGACAGGTCTCAATTGACTTCGAGGTTTATTTTGCCAAGTTTGAGGATGCACCTAGGAAAAACAGAAAGAAGCCACAGTCGGATGTGCATCCTGCACTTTCACCAAAAGGAGCTTTAAGAGCTTCGGTATTAAAAGGCAAAAAAGCAGGCAGGGAGGAAGGAGGAAGGAGTAAAACGAGGGAGGATAGGCAGTGAGATGAGTAGTCACATTCTTGTGAGGCTTTGATTAGTGCTCACTGAATACATATGTTGCCTTTTGAGGTGATACAGGAGTAGTCAATTATGCATTCATCTCATGCTCAGTAAATCTGCATTTTACATAAGATAAAAATAAACATAAAGTAGAGGAAGAAGTCAAATATGCATTTGCCTGGGGGTGAGTCGAGGGATGATTTTTACTCTTGTCTTTGTCCCACATCTGTAAAGATAAACTCTTAATTTACATTGTTGGGGTAAAAGTCAACAGAACTCTGTTTTAGGGTAAAACAACAGAACAGGAACTTTTTTTCCCCATTTATTTATTTTATTGCATTTTAGGTTTTGGGGTACATGTGAAGAACATGCAAAATTGTTGCATAGGAACACACGTGGCAGTGTGATTTGCTGCCTTCCTCCCCATCACCTACATCTGGCATTTCTCCCCTTGCTATCTCTCCCCAGCTTCCCACCCCCCACCGTCCCTCCCCTATT